TAGCCAAATATACCTCAAATGGGATCTAGACCGAAAAGAAAATGTGAGTGAATAATTTTGACTACAATTACGCACATGTGACGCATTATATAGGACGAGTACGTTTTACCCTTGATAATGTGAACTAATCGATATGAAGAAAACATTAACATTTTCAGTAGAAAGATAGGAAAGGTATTGGTAATTAGTTCGACTGTCACTTTATTTGGTTGAGCTCTCAACTGTCTTTCAGGAAAGTTAATAGAAAAATTTGGATGATTAGAAATTCTTCCTTGATTACTTAGCAATGCTTTAAAACAACTTTAAATGAAACGTTGTTAGCCACTCAATGCATATAGACATCAATGATTATACGCGCAAAAATGGTCAAATTTTAATTAAAAGGCAGATGGGCATTAATTACAGGGGCCACCCTTGTCATGTCATTCAGGTGCGGCGAAACTCGGATTAATATCATGAATGTCATTATCTGAATATATCATTCTCTGAATTTTATTACAGTAAATATATAAATTTCATTACAAAGTTAAAATATAGATACTAAACCGTGCAAAGCTAAAAAATGAAATTCCACACATGTACGGCTCAAGAGTAAAAGATACACTTTTGGACGGATATCAAATGGAAGTATGTTCTTCTCTTAATCAAAAAACTTTCAGTTAACAATATATGCTTTCAACATTAATTGCATTTTAATAAAGTTTTCAATGGCTTCCCAAGTCATCAAAAAATTCTCACAACACAAAACTCGAAAGAAATTAATTTGGAAATTGAATTATCAGCAAAATAACGCTTCTTAAAACCGAATCGCCACGCAATTTTACAACCGAATTCGCGAAATACACCAGTAGCCAAGTCATGTTCAAAACTGATTATACATAATTAATGTCAATACCGAAGTAAGAAGAATTGAAATAATCCTTATAAAAACACAAAGTAATCAGTGAATAAGCCAGGCTCCACTGATATTTTTAAGCACACAAATTTCACCGCACAATTGTCCGCTTCATCTTCACAGGAAAATCATCCAGTTGCTACTAAGTCAGGCACAGCCAAAAACAAGAACGGTGCAGGATGAGAAAGGTTATAGGACCACTATGGCTCGTTATATTTATCCAGTCGCAACACAGCGCCCGTAAGCCATTAAGTTCTCTTTAATATCTTCAGTGACCCCGGCAACTAAAATGGTTGCAGCAAGAGCTTCACTGAACAAGATGCAGACTGTGAGGCCCGCCGAGCCATACTAGCTGCCTGGATGCCAGCCATGCTCAGTGCTCAGTTCAGAGCTGACCGACTGCTGGTATGAGCCCCACCCGACCCAGACCATCACACCAGACTTGGCTCACCAAACCCCTGACGACTCAAAACAGTGAAGTACAAAGTGACACCACTAGTGTAGAAGCAACGATTTGGTTTTAATTTCACAATATCAAAAAGTGACACCACTAGTGTAGAAGCAACGATTTGGTTTTAATTTCACAATATCAAACCCAACAGAAGTTAGTTACTAGATGTATTCACCATCGTGATATTTATGCGTGACGAGAGGATTGTACAGAGCTAAAAATGGGGAAAAAATCATCATCGCTATTATAGATCAATTTAATTTGTAACCATCGAACTATATATTGAGCGACTGGCTCAATTAAAAACGTGCGTATGAAGCGTAACATTCACATTTCCTTGTCGTCCTCCTACACGCGTCTCGTGCAACACGAAGAGCTGCTCTTGAGAAAAGAAAGTCCATTGAGACGAAGGGAGAAAAGAGCCGTCAAGAGTGCCTGTATAAGTCAGCAGCTAATAAGAGTATAGGTCTGCAAATGGGACACGAGGTCTGCATAAGGTGTGGGCGATGCGCAGCGCTGTGTCGCGCGTGGGAGGCGAGCATCGCACGCCTGCTGTTGCAGCGGCGAGGTATGCGTTGCACAAACTTCTCCCTCACACTCTTTGTTTATCTTGCGAAACCCTTACACGAAAACATTCTGACTTGAACAAGTTATAATGCAATTGTGACATTTTAGACGACGCATCATTCTCCCTTCACGAGCAAAGAGCGACTCTTATATTAAACTTCATAATGCAGCAACCGTTGCCGTGCCATCTTCATTATGCTACCACACACCTTCAAAAGCGTGCGCAAGTTCTTCGATAATAATAATTGGGTTAAAATTCATAGGTGGCAAAAACGGAACTTCATAGATAATAACCAATGACGAACAGAAATCAATTCTCGATGAGATGACACCCAATATTACAAATGCTTTGAGAGCTGCTTCCAACGGGTGAAATGTGTTCCATCGGTTTCACGTGTCTAAGCAAGATCAGAGTAAAGTTTATGTTGGGAGAAATAAACGACTAACTGCAAAATACTTTAGCACATAAGCTGGAGTATAGATCAAATATTTAAGATTTGTACGAAACTAATCTAGAGATCCGTCTCACTCCTACCTATACATTTTAGTATGACCAAAATTATTAGCGAATGATACCTTCGTCTTCATGGGAGCCAAATACAGGTCTTCGTAAAGCATGAAATTAATTGAGCAGCCAATTTATCTGCCAACATCTAGCAATTACTGGCTAAGTATAGCAGGTTTTTGTACTGAAGCAACCAGTAATGAGTGCGGCATCCAGTCATCGTAATTTAGGATGTGGAGTGTGGCATGCGCCGCTACCGACCAGCACCAAAACAAGACAAAAGCTCGGACATGCGAACGACTCAACGCCCACGCCGACGTCGTCGGACCAGCCAAGACATTAGGTACTCTCAGCAAGCAGCATCCCACTCAAATAGTCTCACTTTTACTGCGCTAGTACGGCAGCACTCAAAACCCCAAATGATACTTACAACTAACATGATTATGTGCACAGAGACTTTTCGATCTCTTATTGTCTTTCTCACTTTTCTTTCATTTTTCTGGCAGTGCCACTTTTTACTTTTTCCCCACTCTACTAGTGGCACCTTACAAAACACGCACACCATCCACGCCCACGCAGACGTCGCCAGACCAGCCTAGACATTAGGTACTCGTAGCAACCGGCAACCCACTCGAATCGTCTTATTTTCACTATACCCTAGTTTCGCAGCAATCGAAGACTAGTTTAGCGTAATATTGAAATTTTCTAGACATTTTACTTCAACGATTTAAATTACCCCGAGTTTCGGGTCTTCCGTTTGGGACATTTAAATACTCGAACAACATAAATAGAGTAAGCAATAAATCAGAGCAAGAACACGACTACGTTTTTCTGTCTTCAGTGGTAACTCTTTCGTATGAAATTTCTCAGCATCGACTGTTCAATTCAGTCAACAGAACAACTTATATTGAGGGATAAGTTGTGATAAGCATTTAATGTTTGCCAAATTATTTGTACAAAAGCTGGACACTCTAATGATCGGAACAGAAAAAGAACAAAATGCATTTAAGTCAAACATTTAAACGCGTTGGGGGGTTAATGGGTGACGTAAATAATAATCTGTACCAAATTTCCGTGCATTGAGTACAAACGTGCTACCAGTCATCCAATCGTCAACATCACATCGATATTGAATGTTCTAGAGTTTAATAGCTACTTTATATTATCAAACATCTCATCCCGATGTCGTACTATGAACACTCACTTTGAAACGAGTACTCACTTGATACGATAACAGTTCAGCCACGAATCCATCAAAATTCGTAAAGTAAAAAAAATATTTTGGCACAACATTAAAACATCTTTTATAATCTTTATATCGCGAAAAAATATGACGGTGAGCTATTACAAATATAAATTCAAATTTTTAACATATTTTTAGGTTTAAAAGGAGAACCTAAGAAGAACCCTAAGAAGAACCTACAAGGAGAACCCAAAGAAGAATTTAGAAGCAACAAGTGTAAATATTCTGTACAAAGACAACAATAACGGAATGGAAGCGATCGAATGCACCTGCCAGATAACACAAACAAAACTGACGACATCCTCGGTCATGTTCAATTCATACAGAAAAAATAGAGGACTGGGCACGAGACGAGGAACTGAATATGTCAGCGGAGGGCCTCAAACAACAATGCAACGGTTCCACTCTCTAAAGGTTCCCTAGGTCAGATAAGTATTCCTCTGCAACGCCCACAATCGTACGAGTTATCAATGTTAAACAAACTCGAAATATAGAACGGAAAACTGAAAGCCAACTTCGTCCCAATGGCATAACTGCAGAAACTACTCAATTATACGCTTATATGCCTGATTGTCGATTCCAAAGCGAGGGTTTGATGCGGCGGAGCAAAAGGACTCCACCCATATCCACGCTATAATTAGTAAAACACGAGCGATCAGGAACAACAATCGAAATGTTATGCATGATAACGAAAGCTGGATTGGGTCCACCTCAAAGTATTGAGCTTCAAACCCAAGGAATAAACCAAGAAATTCATACGAATTCTACCTCTTTGAGATCAGAAAGTCACAAATATGGTATACACGAATTAAATACGAGATATGATCGAACCTTTCATGCGACGTAGTGAGAGGCATATTTATTAAGGTAAAATATTACAGATGCCACGAGCAAAGAGAGCGATGAAGAAAGTAGATTTTATACAGTGAAGATTGGTCATTTAAAAGAATGATTGATAGTTTCAAATTCAGAGTTGGAAAAAAATGATATGTTGGAAAAAACGTACATTCACTTTTTCACTTTACTTACCTTGGGGGCCCACAACTAACTTAGCGATACAATCAAAATATATTTTATAAACACAGACTCAAGACAGAAGTATAAAGAAGTGGAAAATACTGCACTCGCTGGTCACACATCATTCTCACAATGAATTGTTCTTAAATTATACTAATTATTCATCAGCAACTTCAAGTTATGAAAATAAATGTAGCAATACGTTTGTTCGCTAGTTATTGATGCATTTATTCTTCTCTAGATTGAGATTTCTCAGGATCAATAAAAAATTACAAATACAAATAACACAAGTACAAATAATACAAATAACAATTGTACTCACCGAGAATTTGCGCTCGTTCTGGAAGCGTTTGAAGATCTTGGCTATTCTGTCGTAAATTTCGTCCGCCACGAAGCGGTACTGAGCGTTGAGAGCGTCCAGCTCACGTGCAACATTTTCTTGCCCAGGGGATTTCTGCTTCAGGTTCTTTTTGAGACTTGCATCGAGGCTGGGGTGGACATCTTCCAGTCCCTCCCGGTACTGAGCCAAGTTTGCGTCATACATCTACTCATGCATATTGATGCGACGGGGCGGGGTGTGTTTTCGTGTTAAAATTTATGTTTGTAAAATAAAATACGTTTAGTGTTGTTTTGTACATGGTATTTTGATGGTCAAAGTGTTCAGGGTATTTTGATGGTCAAGAGAGCACGTCGTGACATAGAAAGTTGACGACACTCAGCACTCAACGTTGACGACGAAGTCGATGCAGCAGGAGTGAGCGAAGAAGTGACATTGACCCAATATTTTCATTCACGATTTTTTCGTCAGGTTCGGTTGAGAAGAGTGTGATAAGTGGAGGTTAGAGAGAAAGAATGTTAGTATCGTATATAAACAAGGAGCCTTATTTCCACGCACCAATTGTTTTGAATTGATTAGCTATTATGCAACAAAATCACAAAACGATACCATGTATACCCAAGTGAATTCTAATAATACACACAATCCAGGCTATTAACAGGAATATATAATATTCAATATGGATGCCATATTTACCAGATTTTAAAAGATTCGAAAATGAGGAAGAATAAAATGCCCAAAACACGATAACAAAAGGTCAGAGTAAGCTGAAAAATATCAATCTAAAGTTAGCGAGCTATTTCGTTTTGAATTTGATAAGAGTAAGAAGACGTTTAGATATCCGCGAGGAACATTTTAATTTCAATTTTTCGTTTGGGTTAAGCAAAATTGACGCATTAATTTGATTTTTGTTACTTCTGAAGACGGTAGTAAATTAAAATCAGTTCCTCGGACCAAATGCTCGTGTGTATACAATGGGGATTTTTTTTTTTTTGAAATCTCGTCTCCATTGAAGCAGATTTTAAATTGAATTTTATTTTTAAAATGGCACAAGAAGTCCAGATGTGACATCCAATGAAGAAAGAGAATGCAATTTTAATTTTGAGTACATCCTTGTGATGATGCTCAATAGTTATTGAATAGAGGCAACTAGAGCTGAGATTTCAAAGAAGTAAATAGCATGTATACTGAAAATTAAAAAGTAATATTTTTTTTGTACATGTTATGGGACCTACTACGCTCCCAAATATATGCTAGTAGTTTCAGTAATCCCGTGAGATGCACTTGAGGAAATTATGTAAATGTGCAGTGTTAAAAAATCAGTTGTCAGGATTTGTTGAGTTAACAAGGAACATGATGCATAGGAACTGAAAAAGATCTAGGGATCAGGGACAAAATTCTTTAATTTAATTATGGTGAATACAGGGTACAAAACACCGATTTCCGGACACAACTACGTGTCTTTGTCAGCGGTCAGAATTTCGTGTGCAGAATTACTTCTCAAAATCTCATTAAAATCGTCTAGAAATAAAAAAGTTTGACTATAAATCGAGAAGAGTTCCCATACTAACGAAGCACACAAAACGTACCTTGGCTTCCCTAATGAACCTTGCACCGACTGTATTTACACCCTCAATTTTGGGCTTCTTCTGTACAATTTGTATGTACATATCCTGCACGAGAAAAACAGGTGACATTACAGAATTAGTGATTTGAGATAAAAAGTTCCCACTAAAATCAGCTTGAACAATAAATGTTCGGCGAAAATTGTGTTGAAGAGTGTTAAATTCCAATGAATCAAGTAGTTGAAAAGAACGAACCCAGGATATAATTAATGTTTTTAACAGTGGAAACCTTGTTACGATCACTTGACTATGTCATTCATGAGAGAATAAGTTGATGCAATCTAAGTTCAATGGTTAAAATGTTACCTGTAGGTATAGTGTTTCTAACGAGCAGGTTATAGTTCACAAGTACTGTGGAAATGGTCATTAATCGAAATCAGTCAAATAGGTATAATGATAGAACCAAAAAAAATTGAGCCCTGTTAGGATAGTAACTCAATTCACTGAGAGGTACTCAGTCTGGAATTGCCAGAAAAGATGCAGTAAAAAATTTACGAGAATATTAAGAGGTTACTGCGGGTCGGAGAAGAAAAAATGAAATGGCAGCACTTAATATCTGAAAGTAAATAACGAACGAAAAAATATGCTCAAACCTTTTACTGGGCGGCACCGAAACGTCTCTGATCTGAGATGCGATATTCAATAAATGATCCAATTTCTGTAAATGAGGAAATCAAATTTGAACGAGCATTCAATTTCGATTCTTCCAGAAGATAAACGACGCTGAAAGTTTCTGTTCTGCAATGAAGAATAATGAAAGAATAAGCTGTCGTCGTCGTCGATGCTGCCAACAGCAGCGACATAAGTCGTAGGCATTCGTCCATGTGTACATGGGAGTACCGTATCAAGCATGTACTTCAAAACGCCATCTACAGTCGTCACGACTAGCCGTGCTACGCAGCAATTGCTGCATATTGGTCATCGATTCGTTCCGCTCCAAAATGCGGAAATTCCAGAAGGTGTGCTCTACCAGCACGCATCGCGCAGGATTAAGTAAAGTGAATTGTTCATGACTTTTAGTCATTCTTGGTGATTTGTTCAAGTTTTAGCAGTCGCCAAGCAGCCCGAATCTGGAAAACACTCGCGGCTAAAGAGGCAAATTTCACATTTAGACTCGAGTTTCGGTCCTTCGAATAGCCCGATATCATTTCGAAGAAGCTGTGTACCTTGGAGGTGAGAGGGAGGGAGAATTGCGACATTATTAGACCGGCGTACACCTACCCTGAGGCGTTCAGCCTCGAGCTCCGCCTCGGACGGACCAAGATCTTCAATTTTTTGGCTCCTGAGTTCGTTCTCGAACCGCTGCATCTCGATCTTCTCTTCCTCGGCGTTCTGGCGGTACTTCTCGAGCAAGCTCGAAGCGGCTTCGCAAGATCGAATCCTGTAACCAAAGAGAAAAGAGAGCTGTTTTAACGAAACATCTGCTGTAGAGAATTAAAGAGATTTTGTTTTCAATCAGAGCACCTCGATTCGTAAATGTTATTAGACGATAGTTTTTACGATGGCGTTTCCTATTTCGGAAATTCAGAAGAAACGCAATTCGCAAGCTTGTTTACAAAGGCCCATCACAAGCCTAGAGTTTAAGGAAACCACAGGCTTTGCATTTAGAGGAAAAATTTAAGAAGGAACCCTTGAAAAGGAAGGCCAAGAACTTAATTTATTATGCTGTGCGTTCAGTTATGATGTTATAGCTAAGAGATAGAAATGACGGTTCACCTATCACCAATTTTGAAATAATTCTAAGCACAAGAAAGGGAGGAGAATTTAAATCATTGATTTTGCCTCTCTGGTAATTGGGACATTTTGTCCTAGAGGTCACTAGACTTAGGATATCTCATTTTATGAATCATTTTCCGCACTAAGTTATACAATTTGTAATCTTCATAAGCACATAATTATCGAATCGAACGTTCATTATCAAGTGATTTAATTATAAAGCAAAAAGTGAATAGATAGCTTTCTTAATGAAACGCACATTTATTTATACGAAGAAATTAAAGGTAATAAAGGTAATAAAGAAGGTTCGTTTATTCCACGAACCTCTCGATGATCTGCGAGCAAATGTTCTCCCATCTCATGCGCAGTTTGCGGACGTCTTCCTCGAGCTTGTCGACGTCGGGGTGGATTTTCTGCGTGGGCCGAGAGCGAACCACGAGCGAGCGCACGTTGCGGCACTCCTCCAGCAGCTTGTCGATCAGAACCTGCCGAGAAAATTTCTAATTGTCTCAAAATTAAGAATTTTAAATGAAAAGTATTGATATAGGAAACGGATAAATTTTTAGCTAGTATGAACAGCGGAAATAAATCAGGAAAAACTTCGAATGGAATGCGCGTTACAATGGCAGGCACCGAAGAGGTTCCGAACAGATTTCAGAAACGGGAAAGAATATTTTACTCTGAGAGTGGAGTTCTATATTCCACTGATCTGACACGAGGCGTCTTCTTCGTCTTGCTACACATTTGATATTTTACAAGAAATATTCTCACCTGATGGTCCTGGATGACTTGCTGGATGTGCACGAGGTCCTGGTGCGCTGCGTGCAGGTCGTCCAAGTCGTCGGGCAAATGCTGATGCTCGGCGAGCTTCAGCTCCACCTCAGACACAACCTGAGTGCCTTCCTCGATGCCGGTCACGACCATCTCCACGCACTTCATTCTGATCAGTTAAGAACACGGACTTAGTAGATATTCAGAGAAAGAAATAAAAGTAGATTCACTCTCCCACACACTAGGGCTTGCAATTAATTGGCAAAGGAATACGAGTAATTAAATCATTAATTTTGATTCTCACTGATAACGTAATTAACATCAGAGTAGACTTTGTATTTTCCCCAAAACGATCGCTTTTTCTACTGAAAAAGACGCAGTGTTATACCAATAAAAAATATGTACACGTTTTAGAAGCAAACACGTAAATTATTGAAGTAATGGAATATTACAATGAGATTCACCTCTCGATATAGACGTGGGACAGGGCCCAGATTCTGTCCCATTGCTGGGTGATGGACTCGACGGTGCGCTGGATGGCTGGAGTGCGTCGTGGCAGGGACTGGTAGTTCTTCTGGATGCCTTCAACCTGGCGCACAAAAAAACGTTTTGAGAATCTCGAAAAATGTTTGCTACAATAACAAATTGTTTATTATTCGCATTGTGTATCTCAACAGCTCCCACGGAAAAATACAGCAGGCGGACTTGACGCGACGCAATGGAGTAAAAAAAGCGATTTCACAAATTTCTTCAAATTAACTTTATTCAACTATTTCAGAGACAATTAAACGAGTAGAGGAGTGCAAGCACATCCGAGTATTAGCAATAAAATTGGAAAAAGCAATTTAAGTTCGTGGTTACGCAAAGAAGAAGAGCTGAAAGAGAATATGAAAAATGACATATAATCATATCAATATTTGAATTCGCAATCGATTCACGAGTCAGTATTTCATTTCGACTCACAAAATGACGATGAAAATAATTAAGCATGTATTTAATGATATTTACAAGAAAGTAATACCAGCAAAGTTGTGGAATCTAACCTCGAGTTCGTGGGTGGAGAGGTCGTTCTCGAACTGCTTGTGCTCGATGACGAGCTGCTCGAGGAGGTCCAGGTCTCTGGGGATGCCGGCGAGGCAGCGCTGGATGAGCATCTTCTCCATCATGTCCAGGTAGTCCTTCAGGCTCGAGCATTGCTCCACCAGCGCCTGGCCTGGCTTAGGCTCTGAATACGAAACGGTTTATTAAATTTCTTACTCTTAGATTCTGAATACGAAAGCCGCGAACCAAATAATAAAAAGATTTATGAAATCGATGCAAACATATAGAAACCAAATTATTAAGGCTGACGGAGAACATAGAATGAAAGTTACTTGTTGTAAATTATTTAATTAGTTATTTAAACCCCATATTCTTGAACCGCATGTCAAACAAAATATTCAAACCTCACCAGTGGAATCAATCTATCATAACATCTAGAACGTTGACTAATTTGAGAGATTTATAAAACACACAAAAACAAAAAATACACCAATGAATCTGACTACAAATTAGATATAGAAAATATCTCCTGGTACAAGGCAGAACACCACAATAAATCCTCTCGGAGTTTTTGATGTCTCTTTGTAAGCCGAACTTTCTCATCAGTCATCATACGTATAACATCACCTAAATCTTAGTTTTCATCTGTCCCCCCACACCAAGCATCTCTCAGGTTATTATACACAAAATGTGCCATCGTCCCTCACCGCTGGCCCGACGCTCGAACTCATCAAAAAGTCTGTTGACTTCATCGATCTCGCGCTTGAGTCTCCGCAGCTGTGGCTCGTTGGGGTCGCCTTCCTGGATGAGCTTTTCAGCGTCTTCGTTGAGGGCGCGACGAATGGCGTTGCGTTGGTCAGCGCCCATTGCAATGAACTGCAACGTGCAAAAGCTAGGACTAGGAAATTCAACGAATGTCAAACTAATAAATATGAATATACTTGAATGAATTTTCATGCATAGCAAATCATTGTTCATATAGGGAAGTAGAAAGTCTATTTATTGAGCGCTGATGAGGTTATTCCATCAGAGTGACTTGGGTTACCTGGTTGAGATCCCAGCTCTTGACAACTTTAATGGTCGCGAAGATCATATTCTGCCTCATCCTTAGCTGCTTCTTCTGCCAGAGGGCAATGCATCGCTCGTAATTGCGGCGGAGTTTCTCAGCAGCGTCGATGGCTTCTTGGTTGGGGGGCGGGATGGTGAAGACCACGCCGGGCACGAGGCCTTCAGCGCCCAGGCTGTTGACCACTCGCCACTTGGCGCGGTTGCTGTTGTCGTGCAGCGTGCAGCGCTCGCCCTTGCTGATCGAGATCTGGACGAAACACATGAACGCAGGTTGGCAAATCGAACGCAGAAATTGTAAAATAAATCTAATGGAGACGAAGCAAGTAAAAAAAATACATGCGCGAAAAATTTAGAAATGTTTAGACGTAATTGAACATAATGAAAAATTTGTGATTCCGGAACGACGAAAGTTTGAAAAATCTAACAATTTTCTCAGCAAACGTCGAATCCGTGCAGGCAATACATTTGATTATTATTCCTACTCTACTCCCAATTTGTACTACAACCTTTTTAGCTTTATTTACAAAAAAAAAACAGATACTCACGTCAGTTTTCTTGTAGTTGCAGATGGCAGTGACTTGCGTTGGCTGCCTGAGGGTCTGGCGGCGCTGCTTGAGAGGCACGATGGTCTTGGACCTCGTGATGAGCTCCTCTACGGTGCCCTGGAACCTCGACAGCTCCTCCCTGATCTCCTGCATCTCCCTCAGCAGCTGCTCGCCGTCGTCCAAGCCAAAGTCCGTCACTGAGTAGGTCGTGTTCAGCTTCTCGTCTTGACTGGTGAAACAAGTTAATGAATTTGAATTATTTCGTAGAGTTTGTGGCAGTGAATATGAAGTTTGATAGAATTTTGGTTGACTACGACTGAACTGCATTTAACGAAACGTAAAAATAGGTAATATTTCATCACAAGGTTACCGAAACTAAAGCGTACTGTTTCTCAAAACAAAAACAAGCAACTAATAAAAATACGGAAATCAATGAGCAACGAAAAACATAAAATATGTATTTATAGCACAAACTACAAATGAATGATGTCATAATTTGTATTCAAGCCATCTTCATGAATTTCTGGTAGGCAATATTGAAATGTTGGTAATCCGACATCAAAAAGAGAAGCGGCCAGCTCAAGCGACGATTGCATTGCACTGACGCGAGGATCCAGTGCTCAGCCTTGGAGACTTCAGTGAAGAAGTTGTGGTAGTGCGCGGCGTGCTGGAGGTGCGTCTCAAGGCACAAGGTGAGCTCGAGCAGCCACTGCCACTGCGTCTGCATGGCGGCGAGATAAGCCTCGACCGTGCTGCTCGCTGGATGATGAGCCATCACCAGCTGGTTGCCGCGGTCCTGCACGCTGCTGAACTGGTTCTCGCGCTTCTCCAGCTCACCCATCAGCGACTAACGATTCCACAATAAGAACCATTAATAAATGATATACGATGACCTCCATTATAGTAAATCTGCTTAGAAGGTGAGCGATTTAATAAATTATTTTTAATTCCGTAATCATCTGAAATAATTCTAGCTTTTCTCAGCTCGCTCCTAGGGAGGGTAATATGGAAATACGATCATTGTGATTTTTAGATAAACTAACATTTACTTCGGAACAATTTTAAAATCAAACAATAATACCTAAATTACTGATAATAGTTCATCAGCGAATATTCGAAAAGCTGCCCCGAAGTAAGTGAAACAATGATTCTGCTAATGAAAATATTTGTTACCACCAAAAGTAACAAAGAACTTAAAATATAAAACGTGGACATTACATGACTAACTCATGACCATATACTTAGCTATTTAACAATGTAGCTTCGAATTTAATCAAATCAGCAACAATAAAAAAATAGATTGTTTAAAGCTGGATGATTTTGGAGAATATGCTGTCCTTCATAGAGGTTACCATAAAAAAATTAGTTTAAGAAGAGGCAGCAGTTACTGAATTAAAGCTCACCTCGTAGTAACGTTCTACTTCAGCGATGTTGAGCGACTTGTTGGTCCAGTCTCTGTTGAGTTCGGTCTCTTCTCTCTCATTGAGCCACATGAGCTCCTGAGTGGCTGCTTGTAGGAACTCTAGGAGAGCGTGCAAGTCGGAGACTCTCTTGTTGCTCAGAGCCAACAACTCCGCGTAGATTTTGCGGAGCTGGGACAGCAAGTTCATGTAGGCAGGGTGCTCTTCGGGACTAATCTTCTTCTGCAGAGTATAGATGAAAAATTATTATTATAAAGTAGATTAATTTTTAAGACAGAAATTTAAATTCAAGATGAGTACAGGTAGGAAAAGCGGTAACATAATGAACGACATTCAAAACCTGTCATTCACACTTAGTCAAGCTTTGAAAACAATAATACATCAGGAATTTAAATGCAAATGAAATGTCACATAAATTCGTTATATTTTGACTGAAAATGTTTCCCAAGAAATAGGATGAATTTACTTGCCATTTCTTCGCTTTTAAATTCTTGAACATTACCAAATAAAATAACAAGAAAATTATTTACTCAGAAACGGGTGAAACAACGGATAAGAGCGTATATACATAAATATTTTGTGAAATGGTGACTGCTCGCTACTTTTTTCTAAAATGTTGTAAAATATTCTAAAATGTTGAAAAACCTTCCAAGTAATAGGTACATCAAATAATGCCACTACTGCCGCGAGCAACATAAAAAGTAATCTCATTAATATAAAACGACTGAAAAATTGGTAATATTTTACCTCAGCGGCAGCGCACTGGTCGACGTTGGTGCTGAACTGATAGATGATCTTGTGCTCCCGCTGGTGGCTGTCATATTCCTTCTCCACCGCGCCCAGGTCGTTGCCATACTCGGTGGCGTTCAGCTTTTTCTGCAGATTAACAGTGAATGGCAGTCACAAGAATAGGCAAGTCTCTCAACGCTTACAACTGAAATAATACTGAAGCTAATCGTTAGAATCAACAATAATTGAAAGGATAGGGCACAATAATTCTTAGAATTGCATCAAAGATAGATAGTGAAAATTAACCAAAGATGGCAACCAGATAACCTGTACTATTTCCTATGAGTTTATATCCACATATCATAAGTCCTAAACAATCAGAAAGATGAGCCTACATATCGTCATAGACATAGTTGCGCTTACCAGCTTATCCTTGCACCAGGTGATGCACTCTTGCAAGAACTTGAAGTGCTCGCTGGTGTCGGCGGACCGGGCGTCGGATGAGACCATCACCCTCTTGGTGGAGGTGAACGACTCCTGCTGACTGAACGAGCGGTTGTTCAGGACGATCAGCAGCCGGTTCTCGAAGAGCGTCCTTACGCTTACGTAACGCTCCTCCAGCTTCAGAACTCTGATGGATTATTAGGCATTGGTTAAGTAAAAAGTTGTTAACTACTGAGGAAGCTAGAAAATATCAAGGACGGGGATAGGGAGAGATGGGATAAACGGCAAAATTTGGAATATGAAGAGAAAGAATGAACTGGAAAATTTTAGCTTTAATCCTTGTATTTCAGTCAAACGGTGACACATGCTCTTCGATCAGCATACTATGATACGAGTATGCATTGCAAAAATGTATGCTTCAACGCTGACCTCTTGTGCAGAGTTGGAGCCTCAGGATACTTGTTGTCCCTGAGCACCCTGACGTCTCCATGAAGAGACCTGATGGTGTCCTCGCATTGCTGCAGTTCGCCCTCCAGCTCATCGCAGTTGCGTTTGGCATCAGCGGGGTGGAGGCGATCCATGCGGCGCGCTTCCTCGTCGATGCGGGTCTCCACTTCGTCCAAGGTGTTCTCCGTCTGCCGGATGTCGCGGTTGATCTTCTCAGCTAGCCGCTGCAGGCGGTCCGCTCTGAACGGTGCGATTGTTAAATCAGTTGAATTACCAATTCTTGTGAACAATGTAATAATAATTAGCCTTCTCAATGACAGGGAGAGCTAAATTGCCGAGTTAATTCGCATGTTGGTAATATGCTCCAAAATCAATGTCGTTTTATTTAAATAGCACTCCTTTACTACTCCCTTCTGTCGATGCTCTAGATGACTCAATTTAACATATCCTTGATTCATACTTCAACGGAGATTTCTTAACCTCGTGTAAATTGATTTGGTCCGGAGTAACAAATTATAACGGAGGAGTACCTATAACACGATTACACCCTGGATAAATTTCACACATGCTTCGCTTGACGGGTTGTATTGATGCTAGCAGAAACTGGCGGTAGACTTAACTGAAACTGAATAATTCTTCTAAAAATATTATACGTATTCGTAATATCAAGTTTTCTTTGAATGTTAGGTCGCGTTACTTACCCGGACATGTGGTCGTGCAGGAGGTCATCTCGCTCCTGAAACAGTCCCATGAGTTTGTTCCATTCGGCGTCAATGTTCGGGTAATGGAGCTCTCCAGGGAGCTCATCTTCCAGGAATCCAGTGCCGTCCAGCTGACGCTGGATGTCGCGGTACAGCTGCTGGCACTTGCTCTTGTCTCTCTGACGTGGCGGCACTTCTTCTTGCCGGAACCTAAAAACACAGCAGAGTTATTTAACCAATCGATAAACATTATTATAACAATTGTCTTTAGTGAGCCCTGGACAAGTCAAGTGACAGACTAGCTATAAAAAATTTCGGTCCGTGAATTTCCTGGCAAATCGCCAACTAAAAAAAATGTGAATACGTTCCGTTTTGTGTAAAAAGTTCTACCAACATCGCGAAATGAATGGTACAGCAGGCATAGGGCCCCTTACCTTGTGCTCTCCTGGGCAAGTCGGCGCAGCTCGACGGGGTTGGAAGGAAAACGTCGGTCGGTCATGACGCTGAGATGCTCATGGATCCAGCGTAGCAGCACAGTCGCCATCTCGCGATATTCCTCCAACTTGCGTTGTGCCTCCTGAAATTTTTGTAGGAAATTAAATAGCGATCATACTTTAGAGCATTAAGTCTATAAAGACAGCATTACACTGATAGGCACTTTCTTTTATTTTGGCTGGATATGACTAAAATTAAGAACAGATTTCAATTTCTCGACAGAATGTTGTAATTAATTAATCACGGCTTCATGAAATAAGGTCCGATTAGTGAAAACCACATTATAGACTACACCGAACTATAATGAGCGAGATTCAGATTACAGACCTAAACACGAGGAACAATTTTTCTCCCTAATAAGCCATCACAAGACTAGAGTAATTAAGTAGGTAATGAATAGCTCACGATGCTAAAGAGCGGGTGGAGGCTCGGCGGCTCAGGGAAGATCTCATAGAGCTGAGACACGTAAGTGATCAGGGACTTCTCGTCAGGCTCTGGGGTATCGACATCTGTCGGACAGGCAAACATTACAATTACATTACATTACAATACAGGTAAATTACAATAAACCGAATGAACCTAAAAATGAACAAAATGTACAGATATTCATTTTACAGATAGCCGAGACATAAATAAAACAAAAATATTGCAACAGTCGATAATGCCTTGGAGCAATACTGATCACAGGTGTTAGAGATAAGATGCTACAGTCTCACTCTAGACAGGAAGATTCGATGAATAAATCGAAGTAAGATTAATGATTTTCAGCAAAAATTATTTGGTAATGTAAAGGTCAGGTACATGTGCACAGGTACATGAGGAAGAGAGTTCGGAAGTGCGATGGAATCATAGACGGATGGAAATCGGCCATCTTGCTGGGGTCGGATATCAGTAAGTCATTACAAAAGAAATAAAACGTTTGCCAATTAATTACAAATAAGCCAAATTTGTACTTAGACAACTATAGTATACAAAGCATGTTCATGCAGGTGCCAACTATAACAATGATGGTTTTTGCAGCGTTTCATTCCAGAAGATGCAGTTGGCACATAAGATGACGGGCGAGATTGATAGTTTTGTTCACCTCGGCGCGCCATTCATCTTCCTCGTGAATCATCAAGATTGTAGAGGAAGAAGCCACGTTTGGACGTACAGACCTCACTCTAAAGAAGATAACTTAAAGCAGATGGATTCGTGGCTTAACGCGGAAAGAAAATAGACAAAGTTCCTCCGAATCTTGGAGTGTCACAGCAGCCATGTATCAAGATTTTAGATGACCTGCAAACTCAGGGTTGAGGTCAGGGCGATGTGACGCACCCGGCAATTAGCACCATAAACAGGTGAACATTTCATCATAGAGTACCCCTGGAGTAAGACTTGATAGTCTAAATTCTCTTCATTATAATAGTACCTTCGTACATTCGTAGAGCACAGAATCCCTTGAATGAGGTTAGTTGTTAAATTATGTTTGCATTCAACCTATTGCCCTACAGCATGGAATATTCAGGAAGCAGAAACGAGTATTACTTACAATGAGCAACATTTAAATCTAAAATTAGAAACTTAAAATGTATCTACTACAGAACTAAATAATATTTTTCAAAACTTGTTGAGAGCGCTTCACTTCTCGAAAGGAGCAGAATTGGGGGAGAAAAATAACCCAGATGACCATCTGTAAAACATGAAGTGCAGGCAGCGATATCCTAAGGTAAGACCCTCAATCATTTGGGTAACAATGGCAGGTACTCCGTAGCGGGAGAACCTGCATCCCTTTCAACTTGTATTATCGCATTGTACAGAAGTGCACGTCAAAGTTGGAGCGCACAGCTGGCGCAGATATCAGAACATGTTTTTCTTTGTGCAGGCAAACATGTTGGCGTAACTCTTTCTAAGTTATGGTCGCGTGCTGACAATCATTTCAAAAATAGGAAAGACCATTCTAAATAAATAAGAACTTTTTGCCAACGAACTTTAGATCATGAAGAAACGAATAAAATTGTATGCTAGTGAATAATCGCTATCAACCAAAAAATTACGACAGGATGACTCTAAAATGCGTTTCAAAAGAAATAACGGACGGAAAACAGTGATACAGACTATGTCCAAAACGCTTTTACTTTAAATAAATAACATAAATGATCATTGTTCATGGCTAACAAAAATTGTAACGATTCTTATCTACACTCGCATATGCAACGCTCGGGGCCTCTGAAGCCGCACCTCATCAGGGAGATGATGACATCATTAGGTCAACACCAGAAATAATGATATTTTATGAGCAGCGTTGCAGAGCCCATGCAATAGGAGTTTAATAAAATACATCTCATTCGAGTACTCCATAACTAAATGGATTGCTTCCGAAACAGCGAGAAAAATTAATGGTTCGTAAAGTCATGAACAATTCGCAAAAACAACATTGACCAGTAAGAGTCTAATAATTTGACGTACAGCCGTTTCGTCAAAAATGTTATATATTTATAACATTGCAGCTTATAACGTATTTTTAACATTAAATTCAGTATATGTCGAACGATTGTAGTAAAGCAATTTTTAGTAGGAAATTTTGGATTCGTAAGATAGCTTAATTCACACCGCAGAGAAATTCTATACTTAAAAATTAAAAATGGGAAATTAATTGAATTAACAGCAAGAATAATTACCCCAATGATATTAAAAGTTCCAAGAACTAAAATTTAAAGTAGAGATATACATCGCCAACGTTGTTGCCACAAGATCACATCGATCAGTGTACATGCAGGAGGATTTTAAGCAGAACCCCCCGTAATTTTCGAGATCGTAATTAAGTTGTTAACGAGGTAGAAACAATGCGAGCTGCGTCATCAACAACTGATGAAATGCTTCACAAGTTAGGAATTTAATAGTACAAACGATACGACGGAGGCCGGTATATTTATAGTCGTTCAATCGTATTTTCTGCTCCTCTTTTAATTTGCAGTTTCTGAGAATTAAATTTCAGTCTAAAGGAGCACACGTAAAAATATTTATAATGACTAATGATGGAAATACGTACGTTACGAAAAATTAGGAACAATAGAAAGATACGCGACAAATGTACGCAATTCGCCATTGTGCCCAGAAAGAATAATGGCTGAAACACAGATAGTGGAGACTGATATGATGACAAGCTGTCCTCAAACGAAGGAAAGCTCCTTCGTTTCCTTTCCTCAAAGAAGCATGACTAAGGTTACATGGGCGCATTAAAGACTGTTTTCAAACGACACCCAAGGTCTAGCAAGTAGCATGGAGACAAATGCAACAGAGCGCTTTAAGACCTGAGAGCGAGGAAGAGGAGCCACCACCAAAGATCAATGTCAATGTCAGGGGCGGCATTGAACTGCACAGAGTCACGGCACTCGCGGGTGGACACGTGATCGTTGTCTAGTTTTAAATACAATGCCAGCTGGCTCTGGGTTGCCCACCTGGCCAGTACACGTAGGCACATCTTGAGAATAACAATGCTATTTCAGTGGCGCAATCAATTACATTACTACAACTAGGATTATTAGACGCCTTGTATGACTCGAGAAAAACTGGTTTTGTGGTCGTTCAAAAATTTGTCTATGATTAGTTATATTGAATCAATAATCATAGGGTTTGACAAAGACAACTCGATTTTTTTAGAGCGCCTACAATAATAAGACAAACGCTTTAAACGACCAGCAGTGACGAAGAAAATATTAGCGCTTCTATACGTCTCACTTTTCGAACCAGGCTACATTTTGATGCACGTATAGGCGAACAATTTGTAAAAAGAAAGGCTTTTTTCTAACGCATACAAAAAGACTTCCACGTCAAATAATCAAACATATTTCAGCCATTCAGCACCTCACACCACCCAAAAGTTTCATCTGGATGCGCAAGAATGAGGGATTGCTACTGCGCAATCTCATTGAGAAACTCTCATCAGGTACAAAAAGTAGCGAGTTTAATCAGCGTCGGCCAGCGCGTACATGGACCGATCGAGGACCTTGCGTTGAATGTAAGCTAGCAGCCGTTCCCGTAGCTGCAACATTAAAATTAAGAGGGACCTGCCGTACAGCTAGAGGGCACTTAAACATGGGACATTAGGACCTTGATATGGTGGAGGGTGAAAGTTCCAAGAATGCAAGTCCCACATATGGTACGAGTACTGCAACACGATCACCTGATTCTAAACAATTAATTGATTATCGGTGGCCACTGAATTAAGGATGGTCAAAGGCACTTTGTTCATTATAACATCTAACCTGGTCAGTCTAGAGTCAATGTATGTACTATTACAGGTCATCGAGTATTCGTAGGCCGAGTGCGTACACGCTTCATGTATGATGCAGGATCACTAGGCTTAAATTTATAAATAATCGACGCCCAAGGAATGGTCTTTAATTTCGACTGTTCTCATTTCCTGCATACAGGAGCTCATATTTGGTTAAGAAAAATAATGAAAATAGCTTTGCCTGATCGAAATAAAGATTTTATATCTGTAACGATGCAGTAAAAAAAATATAATTGAATGAAAAAATGTTAAGTTTTTGTTGGTTGTGCCTATGAACATCAGGAGGGAACTGTCACGTAAATTTCATCCAAATGAAAATTGTAGGTAATTATTCTGAATATGTTGTATGGCTTATACTCAATAAAAAAATTATAAATCAAATCTCTTGTTTAGGATCGCATGAAAGTGAAGGCTTGCGAATAGTCATATCATGAATAGGTTTCATTGCTGTCTAAAACAAAATCATGTCCTTTCAAAAAGTTATTACTTTATTGACTTCTATCTCAATGGAAAGTTGAAGCAAAGGAACTTGCTGCAGCTGAAGGTAGAAAATGAGGCTAATCTTATACTAGTGAGAGTTTTTCGACAAGAATAAATAAGGAGCGATTAGGAGTACTGCTTGCACTAGCCTCGACCAGGCACATGTGGTCGCCAGCCAAAAAACATGAATGGGCGATGGCACAGAACGACAAAGCGCTTAATATTAGCATAAGAAATCAGGGCTCCATCCTCCCTTCTTTGATGTATTGCGACGATATGCGCTGCTTGTTAAGTGCCACGCATACATCCATCGAGTCCAGTGACGCAGACGCTTGATTTGTTCAAGTAACTAATATTAAAGACCTCGGGAACTCCACCTATGCAAATATTTTTTATATTCGTCCAAGAAAAATAGGGGATAGCTTGAAGAAAGAGCTAACTGCTTGACTTGCTGACATGAGCACTGAATAACCAATTATATTTTATTGATAATGATGTAAGATGAACGGAAAACTCAGATGGCTGTTGCTTGCGTTGACAAAGAGAATAATTACTTGCAACTTACGATTCTATCCCCTATAAAGGTCTAAAAAGTCGAGACAAAGGAGCCAAAGGACCACGATAATTCATCTGTTTTATAAAAAGTACTTCATATTTCACACCATGTGTTCGAACAGTGAAATCAATGACTTTATCCATCCAGACAACAATTAATCGCTATGGCAAATGCAATTCATCTTCCGTGGTCAAACAAATTATCTGAATAGAATACACGTCTGGAATCTGCTTAGATAAGCATCTATGAGTAATGACCATTCCAGTGAGTACCCGCAAAGCCCAGTATACATCCCACTTTTTACGCACCTGTAAGCCAAATAAACATACGAGTTGAAGTGACGGATAATGAAGGCCGTGAGACATCCTGCATGTCGTATCAATTTAACGTCAGTGCAATATAATGAACCAAGATCTTGCATGCCTCGATCGTGCACTAAAAGACTTCATTTAAATGCATTAGAATGCAGAATATTGAGGAACAAAAACAAGACAATAAAAACTGAGTTAAGTCGATAGATTGAAGCATCAGCCGGTAATATTAGAGGAATAACAATAGGAGAAGAGCCACTGAGCCAGTTAAAATAATAATCAGTAGTAGGTGCGCCAACTGGGCACCCGGAATCAGTATAAACTGACCAAGGAAGCAACACACAATGGATGCTAGAAATTAAGACTACCGTCAACGATGTCACGGTCACAGTCTCTGGCTCTAAACAACTGGCGAAGATAGGGCGAGAATTAAAGGGCTAATCTAGTCAGTTAATCTTTGATCAAGGCTGGCAAATGTCGCTGCCTTGACACGTTTGTTACATCAGTTTAATTGAAATTGAACCTTGTGGCCAACTGGAGCAACTAGGGTATATTGAAGCAAAATGCGACGTCTGTAGAACTGTTGTTAATGTGATCCTAGTATAGTCACTGGGAAATGCAAGTACAAAATACAAAAGTAAAATGGGCGTTTAGAAAATCAGGATTTCACATTTAAGATAAGTTAATTCAGAAGGAGCCGTCAACTATGCATCCCTAACAAAATTTAGAGGTGTGAGCGACCCTGCATTAGGACCGCCTATGACTCGTGGAGCACGTAAATCAGCTTCTCTATGCATCGGCTCAAAGTTCGAGGGGCATCTTCTGGGTAGCAATTGCTAGCTCGTTATGACTCGGCTCGGCCAACCCTTGTCATACTCTCAGGCGACTATAAAGTTGAAAAGGAGATTCTGACCAGAAACTGAATTCGATCGGATGGCCTATGAGGCCCACACTAACTTTGTGCCGAGTGTAGTGACTATTTGGCCGAAGCCTATGCGGTCCCCGAATTTTATTAAGGCATGCATGTTGACGAATTGCACACAAAACCACTAGCACAATAGTAGCTAGTGGTTTTGTGTGCACAAAACATGCACACAAAAACTACTAGCGCAATAGTAGCCTTCATCAAGAAAAAGTCGACAATGGGTTTCAACAACATGAATAAGTGACATCCATCGCTCTAATAAAGCCTATACTAAAATCAGGCAAGTTTATGCCCCGTCCATAGAAAGAGACCAGCAGATTTCATTGAGTAAAAGCATCTGGTGGACAGTAGCCGGCGCCCTTGACAGCGACAGCCAGAGATAGACGTGCCCAAATAAGTTGTAATGAACGCCGTTCCTAGAGCTGCATGAGGAAGCGTCACTGGATTTTACGAGACAAACTCTCACTTGAATTCATTGAGGGTTTATAGGAACGAAGGCAATAAATATCAAGCATGGCGTTAGGCAGCAGTAAGACGCGTTCAGCGGCAGGTCACTCGCCTAAATTGGGTCGAGTGAGATGAATGTTGCCAATGAGTGGTCATTCGCACACGTGATTAACATTTATGATTGTAGCTTCGAGGTTTGAAATATCATAACAGATGTAAAAAAATTTGAAAAAATGCATCAGAAACTCCCTTCAAATGACATTTATATTTGATGAATTGAGCTTCAATTTTTCAAATTCTTCAAAAAATTTTTGTAATTCACTCAAATCACAAATTAATTTTTATTGTATACATGAATTGTAATAATTTGAAAAATTAACATTTAACGACGTTAAAAAGTCTCTAAAAAATTGCAATAATCAACATTCGACATTAAATCTCATATCGACTCTTAAATTTTCACAGGTTATACACACGGCGATTTCTTTGATTTTGTTTTTATTTGAGCCTAAATTTGAAGCAATAACTGTTTCACATACTCCCAATATTTTGATAACAACTTCAAATTAACTCTTCACACCAAGCTAACATAGTTTAAATATTTTAGGATTTCAATATTTAATGGCCTAATTTCCTTGTATCTTGCCAGATAATTATAAAAAAATCTTATATAATTGCGTATTACTCACTTTCAAGATCGAAAAGTCAGTATACCGCGCAATAATTCTAAAATTATTTTGAATTATTTCAGAACAGCCAAATTTTAGTCATTTGCCACAATTATTGTGAGTAATGGTGCCACTCACTTTCAATACAGAGAAGTCAGTTTACCGCGTATTAATTTCAAAAATTATTTTAAATTATTTCAGAACAGCCAAACTTTCGTTATTTGCCACACTTATTGTGAATAAACTTTACTCACCTTCAGGGTCGAGCAGTCGTGTCACCGCGTACTCCTTGTCCATGACGCTGAAGGCGACTTCCAGGCGCTCGCGGGGACTGCGGTTGCGCAGAGCTCGCCAGTCCACAAGGTCGGGTCTGTTCATTCATATCAATAGTATAAACTTCTTGCTTCATTGCATTATGATTATTAACAGGTATTTAATAGGCTTATTGATAATTTCACCCGAGCATTTGCGTTATAGAAGTAATTATTTAACACTAGGTACCTTCAAAAATTAAAGTAAATAGCGGACAAAATGAACCTTAAAAATGGCAAGGAACTACGGAATTGAGATAAAAGCACAGTAAACCTTACAGAGAAGTGAACATATAAACACGAGAATTGATGCCGAGAACAAAACTACAAAACACAAGATTCACGGACAACATAACATCGAAAAGACATCCCAGGCGAAAATCCTTCTAGGGCACAGAATTTCCTTGAATAAATTATAAGATATTGGAGATTCTCAGTAAAAGACAACAGAAGATCCAATCAAGAAGCAACTTAGTAGGTTTGAATTATAATTTTCGGTACCTTGAACATTCGTAATTACCTTCATCATGTCGTCTAATGTGCAATTTATGCAGAATTTATAAATTTATGATACTAATTTGCTGATGCAACAAACGCGCCTCAAAACTTCAGGCAGGCATGGAAGGACATCAAAGACAAACAGAAACATCAAAGATAAACAGAAAATTACTTTACTTCCAGCTTAGCCTGGATGCGTTGGCACAAAATTAGCGTCATTTATATTGCGCCATTTTTAGAGGCTATTTAAGATACGGCAGCACAGATGCAGATAACTATACACTACATGCGATTTAAATAGTAAGCCTAAGACAAACTTAGTTCAGAACTAGCCTTAAATTAAGCTTAAAATTGCTAGATAGGTAAAATTTTCTTTTTCATGCATGGTGAAACAGCTGGGAGGATGTGCGCATAAAACGAACAAAAATATTATTCCGGAAGAATTCCGCGGTTCATCCGAAGAACCCAACATTTTTCTGGATTTTTTTATTCAATGATGCAGTCCCAAGCCCCTAACAATGAGCGTACTTTGCAGACCGGACGATGGATAGCATTCAATTTTTTTTGATAAATCATCGGTATTTAAAAAGGAGTGAAACTGCCGCCAGAATATTCATCTAGTTACTTCTTATCGATATTGCTGTCATTACTGTATAGTTTAGAAAAAAATAACATGGACTACCAAGAAATTTGTGTCGCCTAGGTTTTCCCTAAAAATCATTAAATTAATATAATGATTATTAGGGTAAATGCCAGGTTACTGTCAACCTCGACTAGCAAATCTATCAGGTTATTTCTGCGCAAGTCCAGTAATCCAGTAAGGAGTATGGAATATTAATATTTTTAGAGAATACGTGCTTTGTCCACTATGGTATCATTCAATAAAATTTGTCTCCATTTGGTTATTATTTTCCTATATAGGCATGCGGACTGTATTCGCGAACGTTTAGTTTAGATCGAACTTATTTAAAATTTCAAAAAATATAAAGGTAGATTTAGGTGTGGCAGCAGTAACACGTAACCTAAATAAATTACCATGCGCACGCGGACCACTAAAACTGCACCTGCTCGGGGGAACAAAATTTCCAGGGGTTGGGCAACACTGAGCTGTTCACGACTATGTCAAAAATATGACAACATCGGTACACGTGAGATTATCTCCCATAGACAATTCTTGCACAGTTGGTTTACCAAGTGAGGTCACCAGGAATAATTCGAATGTAGTAGCGCTGTGATAATTGGAGTACAGCACAGGGTAGTTTATTCTATTGGGAATTTCTTCTCAGTCGTTAATTATTGTGAATTATAATGACCATTGTCCAGACATGAATTTTACGTGATTCGAAGATATTACACTGATACGTATAATAAAGATCCATACATTAAATCGTAACATTGAGGACATAGACAAAAATAAAATTTAGTCAACATGCAATTGATTTACGAAAGCGATGAAAAATCAAGTAGACGAGAAGATTCCAAGGCCTTGAACAAATTGTGATGAACTAAGGTACGTTAATTATGGACAACCAGATAACAAAATGCACGTTTCACGGGGGCTGATTGACAAACATTTTTCATGTCGGATAAGACGGAAAAGATTCGACATAAAGTCACATGGAAACGATGTTGACTGCAGGGTTGGACTTACTGAGGCGGGGCTCCCGCAGCTCTCATGTTTATTAGTTCACTGGCAATTCAGCAGGGAGGAAAGTGGAGATGGAAGAAGACCGTAAGAAAATATGGCAGAAAATACAGGATTCATTTCAGCAAATAAAATATGGCTGGCAGGTAGTGACATCAAATCGTTCAATTCAAAAGAAAATCGTCTACTAGAAAGCCTGTAAATATTAGACAAAACTAATAAAAATACTTATTTTGTCGAAAGAGACGGTTAGAAATAATTAAAAAAATTTGGTTGTTTAGTTAATTTGAATTCTTAAGTTTCCAAAATTCTTTATAATAAATAAAACGAGCATTTACGAAATAGCGAAAAAAATCAAGAAGTCAGAAGCCAATATTCCTAGGAGTTTTCGACCAGCGAAGAAGCAAATCAAATTAGCGTTCAAACTACAGCAGCAAAAATTCATAACAACTTTCTAGAAACATATTTGAAAATTATTGGCATGATTGAAACACATTCTATGTCAACCTTCATTAATATAATATCTAATGTTTTAGAAAACGCAATAATTCGGTTCGTGTTTTAATTTCCAAATTAAACTTTTGATTCACTAATTTAACAACTAGATTTTGCGTCCCAAAACTATGTGCACATATCAATTAAAGTTAAAAAGACATAAGTAACTCAGACGAGGCAAAATGAGAGTAGGTGAATCATTCTCGCCCTTGAAGTAAGCGCTCTTGTTTATTAAAATCGCAATAATAATTCAAATGCAATAGGAATGACACTACCAAAAGTGGTTGCTTCTCAAGACTACAAGAATTGAGATTCCAAGAAAGTATCTTTGATTGTTTAGAACCATGAAGTGTAGTTGAGCATTCAGAAAAGCTTTTTTATAATATTATTATTGGAGATCAATTGACATGAACTTCACGTACAGTCCTGGTCACCGAATAATGTTCTGGTCATAATCTTGGGACAAGTTAGGAGCATATAAAAGAGTTACCTAAATTGTGTTACCACATACACAAGACATTTACGCAAATACGTATAACTCACTTCAAGAAATTAGGACGAATAACGGGTGTTGGAGAAAATACCTTCGAACAAAAAAAAATCGAAGGATAACTCACCTGTTGCGGTGAATGATGGCAACCATGGCGAGGCCGTCCCTCCACGAGGTGGTGAAGTTGTTGATGTTCACGCCAGGGTACTTGTGCGTGGTACGACGAGCCCAGCGCAGCAGAGCTTCTTTGGCCGTAACGTTCTCCTTCTGGCCCACCATGATGTCAGAGATCTGAACAACAGCAACGAATAGTGAAATTAATGCCAGCCATGGAACTTATTCACAAATAAATAACCATAGCATGGTAGTTAAAAAAATGCATACGATTCGTATATGTTTGCAGGTTATCACAGAATAAATTGAAATACGATCGAGAAATAAGGAGTTGGAGATATGCTATTGGTGGTATTATGACCGGAGAATAAATATTATAATTATTTGTTTTATTTGGTAACAAAATACAAATACAACATGGAAGGAATCAAATCATCGAAATGGCGTCAAAAGTTTACTCGGCTGATCATTATTATTGAAGTTAAAATGGTGTAAAAAATGAGTATTATATAATTTAAATATTTAAAAAACGAGTCAATTCATTGAGATTATTATGAGAAAAATTTTAAGTAAATGCAAATAAGTTGCAAACATTTCCAAGAAGATCATCAAAGTTCTTCTCTTCTCTGCCATTAATACCAAAAGTATCGCAATTTACACTCCATATTAGTGTAATGTATTACGGTTTACGTATTTAAATGTAAATTTATTCAAGCATCCAGTGTTATTTCAATGAAATAATGTCATCAAATCATTTATTTTCTCGCGACAGGCTGAGCAGAAGGCAGATAAGGTGATCGCGAAGTTCATCGGAGACGCGAGCCATCGCGGGGCGAGTTAGAAAGTTGCGGCGGCAAGCAAGGCGAAGCCAGCGAAACCAAACACACGTAAAAAAAACAGGAAAAAGGCGAAACAACGCATTCGCACATGGAATGCAGCCGTAACGAACGTGAATATGCATTAATGAGGCATGCATTTCACGGATTTGCAAGTTAGCATCTTAAAAAGAAACTCGCGTTCAGCAGTAGGTAGAAGGGATTTCGAATTATGATTCAGTCGATTTTTTATTTCAATTCATTAACGTCGTCTATCATTGAACTTTCGAAAAATTATAAATATTGATATTCTAATGCTTTACTGAAAATTTCACACAAATCCATGTGCAGAGCTTGGAGAATATGACAAAAACTGCGAGGATAAGGAGATAAATTGGGAGATAAATTTCGAAATTTTTCAGTTGAGAAAATTTTTCACTATATCGATCGCGCAAGATCGCTCTAACTGCGAGGCCATACCTTATTGATGACCAAGACTTCATGAAGAAATTTGTGATGACTTACGCAAGTATTCCCTATTAAGGAAAGGTGCAGATATAAATCAAACGTTCATAAAGTTTGGGCTGGGAGTAATACTATATTTGTCATTTATGTTGAGAAAATATTGCCATTTGTCTGGCCCGAACTCGAAACACGGACGCAGTACGGGCAGGGTTGTCGGGCATGAGCGCAGGATGCGAGAAGTAGGTTAGAAGTTGCGGCAAATAGAAAGCATGCACTGCATGCAGTCCTGGCCTCTTTTGGGACGCGCGACGTTCTGAATCCTGATTATGATGAAGATTGACGCTAATAAAACAACTCGAGCTTGACAGCAACTCAAGCATTACAACCGAGATAAATGCCAGATGGTTTTAACTTCTTACCATTGCTCTAAGAGTGCGGAAATATAAGACTCGCTGAAAAATTTTGTTGTCACACAATAAATAAATGAACATCGTGAACAGCAATTTCAAGTTGCGATCGGTTGCTTCTTAGCTTAAAATGCAGCCTTGGCACAGCGAGCTTCGGTAAGCATATGTGCTATCTGTTTTAGGGCTCTAAACCATTAGTTCACGAGATAAGAATACACGAAGCTTTTGTTCACTTGTAGGGATGATGTTATTGGAAAGGATGCGGACGAAGGTTACAAAAAATGGACGACGCAAAATATTGATAAACAACATCTGAAGGTAGAAGTAGAAATTTTCAATCGGCTCGAAAATGTCTACAATTAAATTGCGTAAAATGCCGTCGAATTATGGAAAAAGCTAATGTTTCGTACGTTGCAATTCAACCATTAATTTGGAATAAAAACTGAATTCCACGCAAATATTGGAAATATTTATTGTATGTTCATTCAACAAGTTTCAAATTTGAGTAATTAAAACGGCGTAGAGCCAATAACCACATTTATATTAAAGTAAGATACGTTACGTAGCAGGAGAATTAGGCTCATACACGTTTGAGACCTTTGCCTATAATAAGTCCAAAATCAGCGGAGAGACACATAAGCGCGCGGGCCCAGCATTTACGACAAGACCTTCAAGTTACACACAGAGAAAGCCGCAAAGACCACAGAAGGAAATCTAAGCAAACATCGAGGGCCATATTTGCCAGTAAATCGTTTGAACTCCGTACGCGTGCGTCACTGAAATACACAGACGTGTGAGTCATGCGCATGACCAGGTCCATGAGCTCTCCAGTTCAGCAGGATGAACCAATTATAGATGCAGCAAGGAAATTTTCGTCATCATATAGATAAAATCTGCCCCGACAAATTTTGAATCGATTTGTTTGGCTAAGAAGCATATTTACGGCAATTGAATTGTATAATTAATACAATAGCCTTATACAAAAATAAAGATACGGAAAAATGCCCTCTTGTAGAATTACACTAATTTTTCTACCTTACGCTGGTTCAAATTCAATGCCAAAGCTTAAGTTAGCGACTCGACATAGAAAAGCGCCAATGTCGAAGGCTTAGCATAGCTTTCGGTCGATTAGCAGCGATTGTAAGTGCAATACTCTACGCGGTATGCGATAAAAAGCCACGAGACGATGAGCAAAAATACGGCCTGTGGTATCGACACAATCTGCAGAACACGTCTGCATGTCTGAGAGTCCTTATAAGGAAAGCCCTGGTCCAGACCCGAGGCGTCCTATTAATGAAAGAAGTAACCCATGAGGCAGGCAGTTCAGGAGTACGACTTTCGGAAGGTACTTAAGAGGGTGATGAGAACAGAGAGCAAAGATGACTCCACAGTGAATACCCTCATAGCAAATGACGTTTGAAACAACATTAATTGCGAGTTGTTATCGTTGAAACAACGTTTAATAAACGTTATTTCAACGTTAGGCGCTCAGTGAAAAGTAAATTTCCTGTACATAAAAATGGAGTATCAGTTTTAAATTTGGTCTACTTAGCTATCATTCTAATGTTTTCTCATTATTCCGCTATAATAGCAGAAACAAGACAAAGCACAGCTGGTTGAATATGTAAGTGTCCATTATTATAGGCACTAAACGGCTCCACCAATACTATTTAGAATCTTACTTTGTGCGGCAGTTAAGCTTAGCTTTTGTTTGAAAATATTAAAGGATTAACTTTTCGGAGTCCAGTTCCATCGTCAGTTCGACAATTTTAGAAAATAAATACAATCAGTTAATTAACTTAAAATTTACTTTTTAGGATGGTCTAACCGACAATGGAGCTGAACTGAGAAACGAGAATCCCTTTATTTTTTTAAACATTAACTTACTTCCTGAATCAAATAAATTTTCACAAAGCGGTAAGCAAATTATCGAGACAATCTCAAATTTCATAATTTTCAACAGCTCTAAACGCTGATTTGATGTAACATTAACAGTTAGCAGCTGGTGCTTGACACTTGATGTTGGTTTACAAAGGCATTCTAAGAAAATAGATTCCAGGAAAATTAGCCGGTCAAGAAGAATAATTGGATGCAGAACGAGAGAATAAATGCAAGGAAATTCCTGGACACGAGGAGCCAGGCGAGTCAGAAAAAATAGTGGACTAAAAGGCGGAGCACTATGGAACAAAAACAGCTTAGAGTTGTTTAATAAAAATATGTTTGTAACAAAATTGTCCACTTGTTCAAAAGAAAATGTAACAATGCAATTATTTTTTAAATTATTGACGACAAATCAAAAATTTATCGGCATTATCGGAAAATAAAGTAAGGCCATTAGATTTATTAAATTAGCATAGTACAGTAGGAGTAAAAATTCTGTTCAACTATGACTAAAACTACGTAAGTAGTGTCGGCTGACCGACATCGAAGGCGCTAAGCAAGAGGCAAAAACTGAAAGGCCATCAAGACACTGCCTGAGGAAGCTTCTCAGTCATTTTAAAGACCAATTATAACTAATCGAGATGAACTTCATCAAGTCTACGACAACTTAAGCTTCTGACACTCAATGCAACAAATCAGCTGTGTCATCGGCAGTATAGTATGCGGTATGAGTGATGTTTAGGCGTTTTTTTTTTCAGGGAATATCCAAAAAATGTTTTCTTTAAAAACACATTTTCATGCAGATTTAAAAAGTGCAATTACTGTTCAAACCTTGGCCATAAGTCTTCATCACTTTATCTCTATTTCAAAAGCATCAAAAACTTCAACTGTTCTTCCTATTTTAATCATACATTTATGTTTAATCTGATCCTGAGACTGGCCGGCATAACTTTATTTCTACATAACGCATTTGTCACCTGTTCTTCCAGCGAGTAACCAATCAACCACCTTCAAGTTCTTGCGAACCGCATTCTGAAGGGGATTTCGGGATTTGCTTCTTAACGACTGAACATCGTCTGCATTACAATGAAACCAAACCACCCCGAATAAAACTACCTTAGGTAATAAGGTAATACACTACCTTGTTTTATATTAAAGTCAAAAACAACGTAAGAAACACGGTCCCCTTTCGCCGAAATTCGCTAGCAAATCTATTCATACTTTTGTGTAGTTGAAAATGCCGGACAAAACCAATACAATGAATGGATTGAGTTTGTCCTTGAAAAAAAAATGAAGAAAATGGTGACTCAATTGAATGCGCAATCTTAGCAGAATATAGATATATCACATGAATGACCAAAACACAAGAAATGTCAGGGGTTGGACAAGAGTCGTGATGTTCAGCACAAGAAATGACAACACGGCAGCTGCGAACATCACAACGACACCAGCAATAAAAAAGATGGTTAATTGTGAGCATACATCGTCCGCTTGTACAGCCGTACGCCTGCATGCCGTACGCTGCGACTGTGTGCTGAAGTGACTTGGCCGATAGTTCAGTAAACACACCAACTCGATTAGCGAACGAGTTGGGCAGATTGTTTCGCCA